TAATTGAAATGAATAAAACTAACGAGTGCCTACAGTTTGCCAGCTGGTGAACAAGTCGATGACACCCCTGTTTTCACAGAGCTCACAGGCTGTTAGAGGAGAGAGACGGGTAAACCGACAATTATAGTATAGTGGGATTAGTCCTTTGAATTGGGAGCAAAGGGAACGCATGAACTTGGTACCAAACCCAAATCTAAAGTTGTTAGGGCAGATTCCCTGAAGTATATCTAAGCTGAAACAACAGAGAAGAACTAGCACATGTAGAGGCACCTGGGTGGCCCAGTCGGTTAAGCATCCAATTCTTGGTTTCGACTCAGGTCGTGATCTTAGGATGCTGAGGTCAAGCCCCCTCTCGGGCTCTGTGCTCAGTGTGGAGTTTGCTTAAAGACTCTCCCTCTCCCTCTGTCTCCCTCTGCCCCTCCCCCCCGGTGCGTCTCTCTCTGTCTCTCTCAAAACAAAACAAAAACAAAAACACATGAAGAGGACAAGAGCGTCCTTGCAAAAGCAGGCAGCATGTGATGAGGCCCCGACAACACAAAGGAGAACCTGCCACATTTCCAGAAGCAGGGGAACCTCCATGTAGCTGGAGCGTGCAAGGCATGGGAAGGAGTGGCAAGGATGAAAATCAGAGACACAGAGGTAGCTCACAACGTGCAATCTGTATAAACCTGTCAGAGAATTTCTGTTTGATTCTGTAGGCAGTGGAGGCAGAATGTGAGATGCTGGTGAGAAGTGGCAGAAGCTGGAGTCAGGGTGGCAGAGACAGGAGGGAGCAGTGGCGGAGGGACATCTTAAGGTGAAGGGAAGTTTGTTGTTGTTTTAAGGTAGGAGAGAATTTATTCGTTGTAAGTGCTGACAGAAAGGAGCTAGCTGGAAGAGGTGGAAGATTCAGGAAGAGCGATCTCTGAGAGAAGGTGTAAAAGTGTATGACTGCAGAGAAGTATCTAGATGATGGTCTAGGTGGGTTTGGATATAGAAGTTTCTAGAAAGGACTTCGAAGACCTTTCCACTTGTTGGACTCTGTATTCTCTGGAGTAGATGAGGTCTTCTACTGAGCTGGAGGTGGTGATGGTGATACTAGAAGTTGCATTCACTCCACAGATTTTTACTGAGGGCTTGCTTTATGGGGATGGTAAGTGACATAATAGGATTCTTGCCCTCATGGGGCCCCTGTCTAGTGGGAAAGACAGGCCATGAAGCGATACATTACGCAGTTGTTGAATTGTGACTTTTAAGTATTGGGAAGATAGGATGCTCTGAAAACCTAAAAATGAGAAACATGATCGACAGGGTCAGGACAGTCTTGCAGACTTGCTTGAGGAAGATCTGTTTGAGCCAAGCTCTGACATTTCAGAACTCGCTGGGGCTCCAGATGAAGGAGGGAACTTGAGCAAATGCTTCGAGGCAGGAGGACGAGGCAGGGACGGGGTCACATGGAGCCTTGTAAACTGTGTGAAGATTTTAATCTTTTTCGGAAGAGCCTCTGGAAACTACATTTCCAAGAATGTTAAGCAAGGGAGTGACAGGATCAGAATAGCTCCTTAGAAGAACCTCTGGCTGCTGGTGATGGGGGGTTAAGGTGGCTGGTGAGCAGGTGTGGGGCCGCTGAGGAGGCTGGTCCAGGGGGAGGAGGTGAACATGGCAGCACCCTGGACTAGAGTGGCAGCAGTGGCAATCAAGATGGTAGACCTGCAGGCTATTTAGGAGGTAAAATTGACAGCCTTTGGCAATTGTTTGACAGCGGGGGGTATGTAAGCCAGCTGGAGACTCCCACATGTGGCTGCAGAGGAACGGAGCATTGCAGTTACCATCGTGGGGATGTGAGAAATACAGTAGATAGAACGTGGAATAATTGCCGGAGAGCGTGTAAGTCTAGTTTGTTCGTGGAGAGCAGGAATGTATGGCAGGACTGCTCCAGGGCTGTCTGGGTTTTCAGCACTCGTCTAGGTGTGGGGAGGGGCTGCAGGATTGATCTTAGACTGGAGGTTTCCGGCAAGTGTGATAGAAGGACAGTGTGTAAGAGATTTGAGAGTATTAGCAAAATAGGAGACATGATGGCCCATGGAAGTGAAGGCATGAAGGGCTGCTAGATAAGAAGGGAAGAAATGAGAAAGCGCTAGAGGTCCTTGCGACAGCAGGTGCGGGAGGCATAACCGAGGGACAGATCTCAAGGGATCAGAGAGCGAAGTCCTATTGGAAAGTTTGAATTTAATATTTCAGTAGTGAAAGAGCTGCTGGTGATGGCAGAGTCTCAAGGTCGGCCCCGTGAGTGGTCGAAGCGAAGTAGAGGAGAAGGTCGTTCGAGACTCGGAGTCAGGGAGGTTAGAGGCTGGCATTTTGAAGGATATTCATGTGGATGCTGAGCTCACCCAAGGCGATGGCAGGAATTGAGGTGCAGAGGGTGACAAGAGCCAGGGGCTAACGTCTCAGAACAGTGGCTCTCGACGGGGGTGGCACTGCCCACTGGGAAGCATATGGGCATTTACTCTTCTATAAAGTCAGAATGGCTGAGGGGGCCAGGAATGTAGATGTGCATTTCTGCGGAACACAGATCTGACCTGCATCCCATATACTCTCGCAGATATTTGTAGTAAACATTCAGGGGCCAAACAGATCAACATAGGATGGGGTGTCAAGATAAGAGGCCTGCCTTCTGGGACAACGAAGCACCATCCCATCCCATATATTTTTATGCTGTACTTACATGTAAAGTGAGGGTCATTTGCAAAAGTATCATTTTCTTCACTTTGATAGTCTTAACCTCTTCTGTCTATTTCATCTGAGGCTGTTTCCCCCTTCCCTTCCCATATTCCAAAAAGTCTCCCCTGTCCTTCCTATCCAGTTGCTAGTCTTTATTATCCTATTTTCCTGCACCTTTGGGCTTCCATTTTCAGGTACTTTCTCATATGGAATGGTTCCTGAGCTTATTACTCTTAAATCCCACCATATTATAGGTGGGTGCAAACATCTGATGTCATTAGGTTTTCTAGTCATGTCCAAGCATTTACATATTGAAATACATATTTTATTATAAGTACTTTTTTGTCTTTCATATATTACAGTGAGGGCATTTTATTAATTTGGAGGGCTAGTGCATTACATTGGCTCCGAATTCCATTTCAGGGCATAAATGGGATATTACAGAGTATTTACTATAAAAAGGGAGAGCTGAGCCCCAGGGAATTGGTACTTGACAGCAGTTCCTGGCAAGATGGAAGGTGTTAGTGAGTGACCAGCAGGGGGGGGGGGGGGGGGCGCGGGGCGCAGGGAGGGAACAGGGGAGGGCCCTGAAAGTGTCAGCAAAGCAAGGAAGGCATAGCCTCCCAACTCCAACTTCATCTTCACTCACACTTTTTCCTCCACGGGACACCCACCGTTCTCTTCTCCGTCCACCTGTCTGTTCTTCATTGTCCGGCATAAAACCTTATTTTTCTCAAAGCCCAGAAGAAGAATTAGGCAAGGGAATGAACACAAATGCCTGGATTCACACGGATTCCTCCCAAGAGAGAGGGAGCGTGATTACTTTCCGAATTAGCATGAAGTCTAATCGGGGTTCAAAGGCGTTACCTTTGTCCATGACGTAGTCCCCCCGGGCTGCTGTAACGACATACCACAGCAGGAGTGGCGTGTCCACAACGGGAATTGACTTCTCACAGTCCTGGAGGCTGGGCAGTTGGTGGTCAGGGTGCCAGGGCGAGGGCCCTCTGCCAGGTCACACACATCTGGTGTGTCCTCACGTGCTGGAACTGGAGGGAGCACTGTGGAATCCCTTTTATAAAAGAACACCGATCCCTTCCCGAGGGCTCCAGCCTCCTGACCTAAGCACCTGCGCAAAGCCCCACCTTCTACCACCTTGGGCACTGGGGTTCCAACATGTGAATTGGGGGTGGGGGGCACACCCATTCAGACCCCGGCACCCAGCATCACCAGGGGAAGGAGTAGTGAAGAGGGGACTCTAACCCAGGGCAGTCTGGGCCTGCAGCTTGCCTTCTGCCCAGTGCACGCACCACCGTTAAATGGACCCTGATGGGACGCCTGGGTGGCTCAGTTGGTTAAGCGACTGCCTTCGGCTCAGGTCATGTTCCTGGAGTCCCGGGATCGAGTCCCACATCGGGCTCCCTGCTCAGCGGGGAGTCTGCTTCTCCCTCTGACCCTCTTCCCTCTCGTGCTATCTCTCATTCTCTCTCTCTTAAATAAATAAAAATCTTAAAAAAAAAAAAAAAAATGGACCCTGATGGCAGAGACGCTAGCCATTCGGGGCTTGTGACCTTCTAACTTGTTTTCTGACTCCTACTTGAAAGTGCTTTTTGTGTTGCCCCTAGTCTCATAATTGTTTTGTGTGACTCTCTACCCAATTAGTTTCTTTGAAGGCAGAGTTCACTTTTGTTCGCTACAGCAGCTACAGTATGCCTTGTCCATGGTGGGTGTTTAATCTGTATACACGGACTGCTTAGACACCTAAGGCTTGTGCCAGTTTTCAGACACTTAAGGACCCCCTGAAAACGTAGTGTCACGAGAGTTACCTTGACCAAAGTACATGTGGCAGATGGTTTTGCAAATTTAAAACGCATCATTAGATTTGGATCAAAAATACAATTAACGTTCAAAGATGTTCTTTTATTAAGCTCTAAAAATGTTTGAAATTGAAATGACTGGTGCCCAGACTCTGAACTTTGACTTTTTCCAGGCGTACGTACATTTTTAGGCTCTTCTGGATACCATCACTTGGTGATATATACTCAGATACTCTTGAGTGTGTTTCACTGAAAACATAAATATTTCTCATCTTTTTAATAGAAAGGCAGGGATTTAAATTTTGATGGTAAAAAAGCAACAAACGAACTAGCTTTTCCTTAGGTACACCTTAACTCGAGATACTCTTTACTTGGGATGCCAAGTGGGATCCATGTTCTCAGTCTGTCTTAGGGATCCAGGTGAATTACAGACGTGTGTATGTGGTGTTTTGTTATATAACGCGTTTATATTCTCCTGTTTTTCAGGTCCTGTAGGAGTAGGTCTGAATGAACTGAAACGAAAGCTGCTCATCAGCGATACCCAACACTACGGTGTGACAGTGCCCCGTAAGTTCCCTGCATCCCCAATAACAATCCGTCAGCACTGACGAAAGATGGGTGGCACCTGACACGGTTCCAGGCGTTCAGCCTCTGGACCCACAACAGCCCTAGCAAATATGCAGCAACACTCTCCACTTTTTACAGTGGAGGAAACTGAGGCACGGGAGTGAAGGGGTTGCCCTAGACTGCAGAGACCGTTGGTGGGACGTTTGTTAATCATGGCTTCTCTATTCTCAGTTTTTATGGTGAATTTTAATATGCATGTGACACTAAATTAGTATTTACAAATTTTCTCCTAGATAAAAGCCTGACTCTTCTACTTCCTAAAATAAGTGCTAATGTTTTCCAGAGGTTTTCACCAGGTTTAAGATCAGAAGGACCAAACCACAGAGAGCCGAAGGAGTCCTCTTCTAATAGAAGCCTTTCTTAATTACTTTTTATATGTAGTAATTGGCAGATGGTGTTAAATGGGCCTTTCATGGCCATATAATCCAAATATGGTGGGCTTCTTTTCAGTGTACAGAATTAGATCTATTTTTATAAAAGAGGTTTTCATAGGCTTTCTTACAAGTGAAATGTGATGCTGGAAGCATTTTGATCTCCAGAATAAATGCCATTTGACTACTTAATATGTTGATGTTAGAAAGCCGTCTAAAAGGCTAAAATTGAAATGTTGGCTTTTTCAAGTGGTTTTGGTCCTGTTCAAAACAAAACAAAACACACAACTGTTTGTATATGGCCCTGAGCAGTGTTCTCTAGTTTTGGAAGAGTTTGACTTTATTTTAAAATTATAGTTTTCTATTACCTCAAGTTACTCCTTGTTACTGCATTTTTCCAAATTATTGTTTATAATCATTTTCAGCCATATGTTACAGGGCCCTTAGTTTCCACCAACAGAGATGAAAGGAAAGGAAAAATGTGGAAATGTGGGATTAAACAGTGTTTTTTTTCTTTAACTTTAATGCACTTCTCTTGCAAAAGCTGGCTTGCAATATATGGGTAATTTGAGAATTTTACAAAACAATTGTCAGTCTTACAGGGGAATAGTTACAGAGCACCTGGAGGGTGGAAAAATGGATTACAAAGGGAAAAAAATGCATGTATTAATCTCCTAACTTGTATTCATCTACTTTATTTGTCTTAATTTATTTCATCGTCCCAACCACTGGGCGACACCTGCCTGCCACAGAGGAGGGAAGAGAAAGGCTATGGGACTTACTCAGAGTTGTACTCATCACAGTTGCGTGCACCATGATTCCACTTTTCATGTCCCTCCTATACAGCACTACCCAGTCTTTTCCAACTATGGATGCTCTTTATTGTCACATAGTTAGTAATAAACATCAATTTATTTGGAAGATGATAAATACCAATAAGACTGTCTCTGAAACATAACCCTTTATGGTAGTTTTGGTGTTACTCAAGGACCTGGGGCAACGTACTTGGGCCTCAGTCTATCCAACACTTCAGATAATACCTGTCTCCGAGGTTGTTACAGAAATTGACAACATCCAGGAAGGTTCTGGGACTGGGACTCTCCAAAGAAATCCCCGAAGTAGTAATTTTCCACTCAGATTCACTTTTAAACAGGTGTTAATGTCAGAGGATCCCCACAGAGCAGTGTTTTCCAGACTCGCCTGATGATAAAAATCTCTTGGGCTTCTTAGGAAAAGATTCCAAGACCTTTCCAAAGAGATCCTCCTTCAGGAAACCTGACAGAATGCCTGAAAATCTATTTTATATATCCCAAGTGACTCGTAACACTGGACATTTTGGGAAAATAACAGCCAATAGCATCAACTCAGGATGATTTCATTAATTACATAAGAATGTATTTTAAGAACGGTTTTGGAATTTTAGATTGTTTTGCTTTGTAAAATACTCTAGGTAGAGTCTTGATTATCTAGAGAAAAATTATTGCTTTGATTATTCCACCAGTGTTCTGTTCGATGTTTAACTATAAATCTTCCCCAAAATGCACTAAGTCTCCACCAGAATGGGTAAGTTGAAAATGATGTGGAGCAATGAAACTCTCACACATTGCTGGCGGGAGTGTAAATTAATTTCACCCACTTTGGAAAACTAAGTGGCAGTATCTACTAAGGCTGAGCAAGCATCTACCCCGTGACCCCGCGATCCCACTCCTAGTACGCAGCCAGCAGAGATGCACACAACATGCACTCGGATAGTCTTAGAAACGTTATTCAGAAGAGCCCCAAACTGGAAACGACCCGAATGCCCAGCAGCTGTAGACTTGATAGGTACGTGATGGTATATTCACACAACAGAAGACTACGATGCACAATCTGCTACTACAATGCAGCAATATGAATAAACCCCCCAAACATGTTCAGCGAGAGGAGGCAGACACGAAAGAGAATATGCAGTATGACTCCATGTTTACAAATACAATAAAAGCAGTGCTAACGTGCTCTTAGAAATCGTGAGGAGGTGGGTTGGAAGGGTGGTTCTGGAGTGCTGGAAATATTCCGTTTTGTGGTAGAGTGCTGCCTACCCGGGTGTTTTTGATCTGTGAAAACTCATTACGTTTATGTGTGAACTTCTCTGTGTATCATACTTCAGGGTTTTGAATGTTAAAAAGAAATACTTGGTACTTTAGTTCACTGTGGTTTGCTGATGTCGATTTGCTGGTCTCGACTGCACTACGGTTATGGAAGATGAACACCTTCCTTTATTGGAGAAAACTGAGTGATAGTTACATGGAATCTTCTCTAGGCTGTTTTTGCAACTTATTGTGAATCTATAATTAATGCAATTTAAAAAAATTAAAGGGATGCTAAATGAGGTAAATACTGTTGCTCTCGAGCTAAAATGGCAGAACAAATTATATGATCTTTACAAAATACATGTCGCCACGTTAAACGTTCCAAGTTGCTTTTAAGCCCAGGCCCATTTTCTGCTGGTTTGCTTCTTTGTGGCAAATTTCATCCTTGATGAGCAGCGTCAACACTGTTTTAAGGCTCTACGTTATCATCAACAAATTTAAATGACTATTAATGTAACCAGTCTTTCAAAAGGCTGTCTCAGTAAATTAAAATAGTTAACAAAAAGTATTGCATTGATCTATGTGAGTGCTGTGAATTGTGTAAGACTGATCAATCACAGACCTGTACCTCTGAAACAAATAATACATTATAGGTTTAAAAAAAAAAAAAGAAGATAGCAGGAAGGGAAAAAATGAAGGGGTGGAAATCAGAGGGGGAGACGAACCATGAGAGGCTATGGACTCTGAGAAACAAACTGAGGGTTCTAGAGGGGAAGGGAGGGATGGGTTAGCCTGGTGATGGGTATTAAAGAGGGCACGTTCTGCATGGAGCACTGGGTGTTATACGCAAACAATGAATCATGGAACACTACATCAAAAACTAATGATGTAATGTATGGTGATTAACATAATAAAATTTTTTAAATGATATTTAAAAAAAAAAGTATTGCAGTAGATGTCAAAGACTTGATGAATCACTTCCACAGTCTTTCTAGTCTGGAATTTGGGCACTCATAGTCAACCACACCTGTTAATCACTTTGTGGTTTCTCATGAAAGCATATATCACAGTTATATGTTTTCATAGGTTTCAAGGAACTCGTGTTCGATAACACTTCTTTGTCCATAGAAAACCCCAGTTGAGATTTCTAAAATATATATATAAAAACTAGGGTACCAATTAAAAAATTTTTTTTTCTTATCTCGCCATGGCCGTTACTTGGGAATTTTGTTGGAAGCAGGGGAAGAGGGTAGAGTTGGAGTTTGTCTCATATTCGTTTGAGGTTTGTCTTACACTGTAAACATAGTGGGTACCCAGACAGTGAACTATAGTGAGGTAGTGGCCTGCATTGTGGTTAATATGTCCATCTTTCCCTTTGAGTTCCCTTGAGAATTTCCAGATCCCTTATTCAGGATTCCTCGCTGTGAATGAGTTTGTGAGATTCCTATGGTCCCTCAGTGCAATAAACACAAAAATTCTTCAGTGGTAAAGTTATATCAAGCTTGGATAATTTGGGGTGCTCGTGATAAGCAAACAGTCTTGACTCTAGATATGTCCAGTTTTAAATGTGTTTAGCAGTGTCATAAATGTCTTGTTCGCTCGATGTAGTTCTACTTTTAACCCTCCCTAGGGGACTCTGTATGTCAGGGCAGTGATCCTTAAAACTGTGTGGGCTACATTTGCAGAGTGTCCTGCCATTACAGTTGAAGAAAGGAAGCCTTTTCTCAGTTCGCCAGAGACCAATTAATGCCCATAAAATTCTCAGTTTTGATTTTCACCAACACATTTTTTTTTTTTAAAGATTTTTTTTTTTATTTATTCATTTGAGAGAGAGAATGAGATAGAGAGAGAGCATGAGAGGGGAGAGGGTCAGAGGGAGAAGCAGACTCCCTGCTGAGCAGGGAGCCCGATGTGGGACTCGATCCTGGGACTCCAGGATCATGACCTGAGCCGAAGGCAGTCGCTTAACCAACTGAGCCACCCAGGCGCCCCTCACCAACACATTTTTATGAAGCTATTTGTTAAAGGAACACCAGTAAACAAAATGAAGCTGTTGAAGTAATAAATGAATATTAACCCTAAGTTTGAAAACAGGGCATCATACTAATTTTAATAGCTTTTAAACTCTTGGGTGCACATTATGTTATATACACATGATAGAGTCTATTTCTGTTGTGAAATTCATTCTTAGCTTTTATGATAGAATTAAATTTATTAGTATGTCATGCTATTCCTGCAAAGGGTGTGACACTTCATAAAAAAATAGCATAACTTCTTGGTGCTTTAAGAGCAGAAATATGAAAAACTGTTTCAGGAGATCTGAATGGTGTATTAAAATATGCTTGGTAACTAAAAGTCCATTAAAATTTTAGATATAATTTAAATTAATCGGGTTTGTATTGAGGTACTTTTTCCCACTTCCCTCAGTTTTTGTTTTCTATATTACTAAGATATAATTGAAATAAATAAGCTGCACATATTTAAAATGTACAATTAGATC